TTACAAATACACCATAAAAAGATGCTTCAGATTGCAAAGCAGCCCATAGGATTATAATACTCGACAATAGCTTTAGAAAAAGAAATAAGCACCTTTCGAACTACTTTGTTGCAGGTTCGCGAAACATTATACTTGGAGTATTCCATCGTCAAAAAAATGAGCAGAATGTTCCCGGTAATTTCGTGGTGAGTGTATTTGATTCTGAAGGTTAAGTTTTTTCCTTTTATATGGTCAGTTAGCTATTTGCCAAATTTTTCTTCAATTGTAATCTACTTCAGGTGATCCACTTCTTAGCTGATAGTCGAATGGAACATTGGTTATGGTGCTTCTCTAAACAACCAGATAACAGATATCTCAGTGGGTCTTGGCACGAATCATTAATCGCAATTACACCATCCAACTGATAATTTCATAGTAAAACGTGCCAGTGTGCAACGAATTAATCGTGGTAAACGCGCCGCATCCGATGTTTGTGCTTGGACAGGACATATAGCTGAATGTGAGCTGGAGGTGCACACTTTCAAGGACTTCAGGCGGGCGTTTCTGAGTTGCATGAAAAACTCGCACATAAACACACTGATGTTTCAGAATTAGCACAAACGCAGAGGTTGAAGACGCTATGATTATTACACCTGAGAAGCCATTACGGTACTTTCGTTTATCTTCAAGCTAATGAAAGATAAGGCTTTTACGGCGTAGAATTGAGGCGTGTTACAGTAATCAGTAACTAAACACCATTCCACAATTCCAGCCTTCAACACTCAACATAAGCTTTATCTAAAGTTTGCCAGGGCTTGTTCTGATTTGCCAACTGCTAAATAAGTCATCAGCATTATCTTACTGTAAAGTCACGGAAGCACTAAAGATCCTTACCATAATAAAACGACCTATTTCATTCAAGAATCGTGCTTTTGCGACCAGCATGTCAAATAACCGTATTAAGCCTTATCAGCAAGTTACCCATAAGGTTGTTTATCAACTTTCTATGATGTTTTCCATTCTCTATTTTCCAGCGCTTTGAAGTTTCTCACCAAACATTGTATATATTCCAAAAGCCGTTTTCCCGCTCTAACTGAGAGCTGAGTGATGTTAGGTCGAGAAAAACAGCATGTGCTAATAGTTACTCAAGTTTGGCTAGAAAACAAAACAAGTTCCAATTCGTTCTGTTTCCAAAATTTTAAGTTTGTCTTCGATGATAAATTGGTTTAACAGGCACCAAACGTCGGTAGGCTATCGACATTTGTGCGGTTCAGCATTCCTTGCATCTTACGGACCCTGGTTCAAAGAACCACTGTTTTTCCTGACCAATCTGTAAAGTTTGATGAGACTTTTAAACAATCTCAAAAAGCTATAAACTGAGAAAAACAAGACGCTGATTCATTTCCACGTCAAAAATCAAGATTAAATAAGATGGTGTAAAGGGACTGCGACCATAGTTTTGTAGAGCGAGAATAGCTTTTGATAAATGATAGTTGGTCAAAAATTCAAAAAGAAACATGTGGAAAAAACAATGGATATTTATGCAACCTAATAAATATGGACATCTACTGTTTCCTACCATGATCTTGTAAGGCTTAATCGTAAGTCGTTTAAAAAACAGGCACTGAACAATGACGAACATTGTGTTTTGACTATTATGTTATCGATCCACTAAATTTTTTTTGATAAATACGAAAAAAAATCTAGATGGTGACAAAGCTGTTTTAATGAGAAGCGATTATGATTTTCACTCATCGCCAGATACCGCACTACCAATTTCTGAGCAGATCTATAAGTTTGGCTCGTTACCGTACACATATCGTATGAAGTAAGGCCTCAGCTGCAATATGGATAATCGAGATGCAAATACAACCGTTGATGAAATTTTCAAAAACTAAATTTTGACATGCTAAAGGTTTTTAATTTCAAGTGTTTCAAGTCTGACCAACCTTTAAAAGTTTCGCCTAGTAATAAATAAGTGCTATGGAACTCTTAATTTATATGCTATTGCAGAGAACCTCGACATGAACTCGTGGTATGTATGGCACCAATGTACATCTATACCGATTGGGAGATTCTCCTCGTCAGTCTTGAGACATGGTTGGCTCTTGGTGCTACCAAAATTATCGTGCCCATACAGTCGGCGTCGTCTACAACTTACAGGATTTTGAAGGAGTACGAAGAAAGAGGTTCGATTTTCCCCTTATGTGCTGACCTAGTATACGTTCATACATTAGTTCAGGCTTCGTTATAATTCGTACTTGGCCCAAATGGCCAATATTGACCGACTCTAATCCCAATGGAATGGTATTGAGCAGAGGTAAGATAGTACTTCTGATCCTCCCATCTGCCCTTATCATTGACATTTCCAGGCATAGAGGAGTCGCATGTAAACTGTTTATTCATCGCAAAGCCTTTCGCAAATATGATCGCATTTTCGGA